GGTATATATTTGCTGTTTTACATGATTGTTGAATGAAATTAACATATTAATTTATTGTAAAAAATATTACAGATAGTTTGTGAAACAGATCCAGTTGGGCTTGCTGTTTATCTATTAGTTTCTATGGAGGCTGTGAGCTGTTGCCCTGTTAGGTCTCTGTTTCTGCTCCTCCATRCTAACAGTGGACGAWATGGGCGGGGCTCAGTCTAGTGTTCCTMTTCAAGTYTATGTACAGTTTCCAACGTATTGTTAAAACAACAGGAATATTTGGACGTTTCACCCCTCACTATAAAACTTGCTCCCATTTTAAAGAAAATTTGTCTGGCTTGTGGACATTTTTTGAGTTTTTTCCCTTTAAGTTTTAAAAGCGAAAGACTAATTTTAGTAAGGTCAAATTTGGTATCCTGCATATTTGTTGGTTTGGTTAGCCAAAACTTTTCTTGATGCTCAGCTCTTTGCTTTGCCTCAAAACACAATGCTGACTGTGTGCGTGTTTTTTTTTTAAAGGGAGCTCACAAGAGACTCGTTCAACCTGAAAGAGACTCATAGATTTAACAAGGTCAGCAGAGGAACCACAAAATGAGAAACCAAACCACTTCTTACAGGAGGAGTCCTACAAACACCTCCTACAGGCCCAGACAGACTGGATCCAGCTTTCACCGCCGAGCTTGTCTCTGTTTGTCCACCTGGTTCTCTTTGGCTCAGGCTAGACTGAGACGAGTCTCACGGTCCCCTCCTTGCATGTGCTTTAGCTCGACGCTGTTTGCCGCTTGACGGAGCACATCTGGAAAAAGGCAAAGCGGAACGTACATAGGCAGGGCTGCATTTGGCGTTCGAGCTCCGCGTTACTTCTGTCATGGGAGTCATTTATTGAGAAAAGAAACTAGAAGTTTGGTTGCAGACTTACAGTATATGTGACACATTCCTCTCATTCATCAAAGTAAATACCTAACGTGTTGTAAGTGAAGGGTGAACACATTCATGACTGAACAGAAACATGATATCTATCTGTGACTCAATCAGTCTACATTTACCGGTAATGTTATTTCAGCATTCAGTTTTTTTTTAAAGCTCGCTAAGATGAGTTTTTGAAGATTTAGATAAGATAATGCTTGTTTGGTGAGCCAGTTGTCAAACTGAAAATATTTGAAGGCAGCTGACTCTGCTTCACAGATGATATCTATGATTTCTATTTAAAGGGGACAAGTCCTGCAAAAAGTACTTTTCTTGCAATTAAAAGMCTTTTTTRTGTACTTGTCTCTAGGAGTGCAGAATATTTAGTCTCTCACGGTGCTGCATAGATACATTTATGTTCTGTTTGGGTCATATTTTTCCAAGGGTGAGTTTTTTCCTATTTTTTATTACGTTTTYTGAACTACTACATTACAGTWTTTGCGACTGAACTGCCAAATAAGATCTGGACAGCATCAAAATGAGTTGATTTGAAACACAACTCAGAAAAAGGGATGAAAGAGGGGCTTGTGGAGTTACAATAAGGAGGAACTGAGACCAAAAATATTGCAGTTCCACTTTAGACCCCAAATGAATGGTTTAAATTTAAAAAAATAAGGATTTAAAAGCCTGATTTGTCTCCTTTTATGGCAGTGACAGAAAACACTTTTTCCTGCTTTTTTCAATAAATGTATTTGCTAGACTTTTAAACAGTTCACATGAAATATAATTTAAAGCTTATAGTAACTAGAAAATGTTTTTTGAATCKTGCTATTTGTCGTGTCATTTATTGATCTGTTCTTTACAGATGCGAATCCTCGACAAATTCCCAATTGAGGGAGGACAGAAGGACCCCAAAAAGAGAATCATTCCTTTTTTGCCAGGTGATGAACATTAGTACCTGCATATTTAGTTTGACTGTCACTATTATCCGTTTTCAGTTTCATAAGCTACTGCAGGGTTTGGGTTTTCTGTGAGACCTTTGGAAACTGCTGTTTGTTGGTTCTCCTACACTCTCCATCGCATGGCCTACCACGCCGCATTGTTTTATCAGCTTCCATATGCCGCCCAGGCCAAATCAGTTTGTGGTCAGCCATGTCAGTAGGAGGTTACAGCCTGAGAAGGATTTGTCTTTTCTGATGAAGTCTTTGTGAGCCAGAGCAGAGGAGAGCAGTGAAGAGAGAGCCTTTGTTGTGGCTCGAGCCTGGTCTGTGTCGTGTGGAGCTCTCAGCTCAGCGTGGATTTAGCTGTGTTCTTTTAGCTGCAGAAAATAAAGAGGCTGCTATAGTGGAACTCAGTGAAGGGGGTTAAGTGGTTTGTGTGGCGGTCTCGTAATTCTGAGGCTGCAAGTTTGAGCCCAGGTGGTTTTCAGTAAGGGCATGCAGCTTAAAACAACTGCTAAACGTAAATGCAAATTCACTTGCTGTGGTGACTTCTGGAGCAGCTGAAATAAGAACAATTRTGAAATTAAAGCTATTAGCTATTACTCAAATTTATTATAGTCAAAATATTCCTTGAGATGATCTTTTTCCATCTTTTTCTTCCACATATTTTTTTCGGCGTGCATCTCGTTCTGCAAATTTTGTGCTAATTCGACAATTCATGAGTCAAAACTTTCAGCTTCTTCAGGACATTCCAGCTATGACTTTTGGTATTTTTGTATACTTTTTAGCCCTTTAGGCCACTTTTTTGTTCCAACTGAAAATGAATGGAGCCGTCTTCAACATCCTTCAAACACTTCAAAATAGTTAAACCTTTCCTGCACTTTTCACATTTTCTTCTGGCTATGCATTTTGTTTTTACTCTTTTGTACTAATTTTAGCTACTTTCAGCTTCGTTTTTGATAACTTTAGCTTTTTTCTGCTTTTCAGCTATTTTTATGCCTTTTTTTAGCTAGTCTGTTAATTAAATTTTTTATGCTTCTATCTTTTTCTGTCGGCTAATGTAGTCGTTTTAATCTTCTTTTAGCTGTTTTCTACAATTTAAGCTACTTTTTAGCTATTTTCAGCTAATTGTGACTTTTTCAGCTAAATTAACCTTTTTGTGATCATTTCAGCTACAAAAAAAGTACTATTCATAGTAACAGGACTCAATAAAACTTTTATGATAATAGTAGGTTAATAAATGAGCAAATTATTTTTGATCAGGAGCACAAAACTAGTGAATGAATGAACAAAACAGCAGGAGTAACAAAGCTACAATTCAGAAAACAAAACAAAATACCAGATCTGCATTTTTAAAATGTATTTATATTTATTTAACTTATCTCTGTTTGTTTCCAGGTAAAGTCTTGTTTCGCCGCAGTCACATCAGAGACGTAGCTGTCAAAAGACTGAAGCACCTGGATAATTACTGCAAAGTATGTAAGACTTTTTGTACWACTCGTTTACTATTTTCTTCCTTGTTGTGAAGAGTCTTTTTTTTTTCGAAGGCAGGCTTCAAAATTTATCTTCTCCGCCAGCCTCAACAGGAAAGCAACCGCTCTGTGTGACGGTCACGTCCTGTCAGAGATGTAAATAGGCAGCTTACAGAGGAAACGAGGGAAGTAGGGCACGCAGGAATAAGACTGAATCAGCACATGTGAAGTACAGTCGTGAGTGCAGACGTGTCCTTTTGATGTGTGTAGGTCCGAGAAAGAATTCAGGTGTGTTGCCAGGCGTTTTGTTTGTTAAGAATTGAACGTGAAAGATAAAAWTTTTTTTATTATCATGATGTTTCCTCATTCACTCAGTAGGTCGATGCAGTTATGTCAAAACATGGTTTGAACTCACATCACCAGGCCTTGCACTCACACAACCCCGTGTGTGTTCCTTTGTTTTTACTCCCCTCTCTTGGCTCGAAGCCGTCTTCCTTCCCCTCCACACCCTCCACATCTTTGGCTGGTCTTCTGATCTGTAGGAATAATAYAGGTGTGATAAACTGGTGAGACGAYCAGCTGCTGAAAGTTTTGGCCAACTCTTGTCTGATAGGATCCTAACTGTTCAGTACTGGGTCGTCTTTACCAGAGCTCTGGACTGCAGGTGGGCCAGTTCATCATCTGGACTGTTCAACTACAAAACGATGCTGTTATAACAGATGCAGTGTTTACCATTGACTTGCTGGAATATGCAAAGCCTTCCCTGAAAAAGACGGATGGATGGGAGTATATATTACTCTAAAATGTACAGATATGTTTTTGCATTGATGCTGTCTTTGCACATGCGTACGCTTCCAATGTTATAGTCATTAATGCATCCCTATACCACCAGAGAGGCATGTATTAGAACTGAGCTCTGATCACAGGCCAGATGGTCCCTCTCTTTTTTATTTCTAAGATCCAACATAAAACACAGTTTTTAGAAGCAGTATTTGCAGACAGGCGAACCTCTTCTTACACTTCTAAAAGATTAAACCTCTAAAATGCTCTTTTTATACTTTTGATGACTATTTGACAATTAACCTATTTAGTTTCAAAACACCCTTTTAGCTGTTTCCTATTTGTACCACTTAATTTTAGACTTTTGTCTCATCTCTTTTACAATGTGTTGTTACAAAATTCTAATTAATTTAAAAAAAAAGAACAATTTCTCAGTTTAAACATTTATGTTTACTACGTTTTCTAGTGAATTAAAAATGGATTTGGATTAGCAATTTATTTCCGTTCTGTATTTATTCATATTTTTATACTTGATGCTTCTTTCATGTTTTTTGTTGTAACCAGTAGCATGTTTTCCTTTTCTTCCCACAGGCTCTGATGAAACTTCCTACCCCCATTTCCCAAAGTGAGGAAGTTCTTAACTTCTTTGAAACCAAGTCAGAGGACCTCAATCCTCCCACAGAGTGAGTAACTGGGACCGTGACGAACTGTGTGTTCAGCGTTAGCTTCCCCTCTGTCACATGAGCTGTTAAAGCCTGACACCGCCTTCACAGCTGGGACCTTTCATTCACGTTCCTGMATCCTGATCCGCAGTCTCTGCTTTGTCTGGGATGATGGATAGGTTCTGGTTCGGAGGCGCTGCGTTTTATTAATAATGATTTCAGCGAGGTGACATCTGATGCCAGAGCAAACGAGGAAGGATCAGAGGAGTCRGGAGTTCGTCTCAGGGCAGAAAAGGCTTTCACTCAAGTCATTTGTCATATTCAGTTTTGAAGTCAGAGTGGAGTAATTACAGCCTAGGCGGGCTGCAAGGCTACTTTTTGTTTTTGTATTGGTTTGTCCTTGTCGTGTATGTTAATTTCTACGCAAAAAAAACACATTATTTATATGAAAATGTGAATTTGTTCTTTACAATTTAGACCTTGCTTTTTTTTGAGAAACTRGGAGAAAATGTTTAAGTGACCTCTCAGCCCCCACCAGGCCCATCCTTCTCTAACCCTTCATGCATTTTAATCCCACTTCAAAGTAAGAGCCTCATGTTGTCTTAGACACAGCCCAGCGCAGCCTGAACTGAGACATTAAGGTCTAAAAGKCAGACCGCCCACGCAGTCCTTTTTCACTCGGGCTGCATCTTTGAGTATCAGCTCTGTCACACGTAGTCGAGAGCACAAAACACGTTTTTAAATTTTTAAGTTTGTGTATTTCAGAAAAAAGACAAAATACTTTTAGCACGACAACTGCTAAAAAAAAGAGAATGATTTCCTTTAAATGGTAACGGAAAACAGTTTTTCAGAATTAAAATCGTAAATATTACATTGACTTTCCTCTGATTAGTGTTTTTCTCCTAAACGAATCTACAGAATCTAATTCTAAGTAGGTTATGTTTTTTTTCACTTCAGTGAAAAAAAAGGACTGACAATGTAGGAGTCATAAGAACTATTAATAATAACAAAAATATTATTAATATTTTAGAGTGTACGTAATCTATCTAATGTTTTAAATGATGCTGAAAATGATGTGTGTTATGGATGTACCAACAGAAGAGAAACTTGTCTCCTTTCACAAGTAAGCAGATTTAATCTTCTTTACCTCACTGTGGATGTGATCTGACCAAAACTGAAGCTAATAAGTTAAAAATTAAAATAAACTTGTAAATCTGGTTTTTTCACTGCTAATTATTGAACAGGTTAGCAGATATTAGCTTGTGCAGTTTATTATACAGAAACCCAAATTATWAAATTTTAGGCTGATGTGTCATCAGGTAAAAATTTACATTTAACTTTTTTTAGGTTTTATTAGACACATCTAGCTAAAGTCAATAGAAACAAGTTTAATCCTATAACTGGGTATGCAGAGAACATTTTAAAGTGTTGACTGGTAAATATTTATTATTTATGACAGTAAGAAATAATATTCTTTATTATTAGTGTAAGTCATAATTTTTCAACTTTCTAAAAAGTCTAAGTTACTGACTGACTTCAGGTCTGCTTTAGATNGCTTTAGATCATTGATATTTATAAATTATAGATTTTTTTTCTGGTATATATCTGCTGTTTTACATAATTGTTGAATGAAACTAACAAAATGATCAATTTCTTGTAAAAACAATATAACAGATAATTTGTGAAACAGATCCAGTTGGGCTTGTTGTTAATCTAATAGTTGCTATGATGACTGTGAGCCCTGTTAGGTTGCAGTTTTTGCTCCTCCATGTTGTCACTCATGCTATCTGTGGAGATAGGCCAGGCCTCCCCTAGTGAAATGTATTCAAACCCATGAGTCCATCATCCAACACTGCCATCTAATGTTCAACAAACAAACAAACAAAGGCAGTAACATGCTTTTACCACCAGAGGGCGCCAATTAACATGCTTTTTAAACAAACTAACATTTTTTCCCTAACTAGAAGTTTTTAAATTACTGCCATCTCTGATTCTAATCATGTAAAAAAAATACACAAATTGCACAAGATTTTTTTTTACTTTTATAGGATTGGAAAAAAAATATTATTAATAAATTAATTRCTATTTAATTAATACTAGTTTCGTATCCTAATGAGCTACATAAAAGATCTGCAACAGATATAAAACTAATCTAGCAAGAAAAAAGTGGAATAACCACCACAGTTTATAAGTTCATGCAAGAAGTTAAAGAACTTGTTGAACTTTTCATTTTGCCTTTTGTCATTTGACAGATGCATTTYTTCCCTTTTAATTTAATGTAATTTTTTTAGTTCAGACTTTAATATTGTCTCGACTTTCCTATTCAAAACATTTAATCATGATTTTGGTATCAGCTTTCAGCACATGCATGTTCTCATACACCTCATTTTGCTCTGGATTACCAACTCTGGATATAGTTGTGTACTTAATCCTAATTATAATAGTAATAGCCAAGTTTTATCCTCAAATTTAAACAAGGTGTGCAGCTTTTTACACTTAAATAATCTCTACTTTTATATGTGAGAACAATATAATAATACCTGGATCACAAGTACGAGGTAATTAATTTGACTTGTGTGCAACTGCATTTGTCTGACAGTCTGTTTCACTCTACAGCCTAAAGGTTAATATGACATCAGCTTTTCAGCACAAGGGGAATGATTAGTAGTTGATTCGTGGTCAAAAAAATAAAAAAGCATTCTTTGACACTGATGTCAGTGGGCAATCGTGGCCAAGCTTCTTCTTTTTTTTTTTTTTGCTGCAAACTGGAGCGAGCATGCGGGGAGTTTAACGGGCCTGTGTGCGCTCTTCCAGCAGCGCTGTTACCTCTCACTCAGAACCTCCTGTTCTGTTTTTTTCCACCGAACACGTCAGCCCTCAGCTTTATCACGGTGATTTGCTGCCCRATGACGGCGACCCACTGACCGCAGAGAACAGAGGTTAATCCTGCGGAGGGAAAGCCGGGTTCACGCAGGAGTGTCTCTGCACACATTCCAGGCCCACCTAGAAAAAGTAGCTGCTGCAATGTTTATCATTTAGATTCTTTTGAACTTTTACTTTGAAATGGTGTTTTGTCCCTTCCACGTGCTTAATAAATACGCTGACTTACACAGTGAAGCACACAAGTTGTTATCTAAAGGTTTAAACGCGTCCCAAAAGGCTTGACAACAGTTTCTTAATTGTTTAAAACGTGTGGACGTGCCCTTTCTCTCCTCTTAGCTGTTAGATTTTACSGGTGACAGAAGGAGAGCGCGCGGAGCCAAAGCTGTGCGCTCACTCTTCCTCCTCCTGGGAGGAATATAACTCCACCTCTGTGTTTGCGCTGAGGGTCGCGAGCGAGCACGGCGGGTCAAGCATTTGCTTCATCCTCGTCGTTTCTCCCCGAGCTTCAGCTTCAGCTCCACCCAGTCCGATTCGGGCCAAAAACAAACGCTGAAATCAAATTGCGTTTTTTAAAAAAAAAAAACTTTCACACCAATAACGTCACTCAGCAGGAACGATGAACTGTAAACTGTAAACATTTTACACAATGTCAGTGCTTATTGTGTAAATGCTGAATCAGCATTCATGCTATTGTTGTCCTTTTTTTTTTCTTTTGTCTTGTATTCTTTGCACTTTTTTAGTCATCTATTTATCAAAATGYTCAACTCCTCCTTATAGGCCTACAGCCCTTCTGACTGCATCAAATCAAATACAGAGCATGAAATATATTGTTGCAACATTAAAATAAAAAGAAAATACAATTTTCATTCAACTTGTATACATTTCTTAAACATTAAACTGACCAAAGTTTCACTTGAAATGTAAACTCTGACACACTGAATGAAGTATTGATACTGGTATCGGTTCTAGTTATTGGAGCACTTTGTACGTGTATGAGTACTTGTATAAAAGTGCTGGTATTGGTACTGATACTGATACCAGTATCTGTATCAGTGCATCTATTTCTGTCTTCTTAGGGATCATTTTGCTATTTTTATCTTTTAACTARATTTTTGCTTGTTTATGCTGTTCTGCTACTTTTAGCTTAAATATATTGTTTTGCTGCTTTTAAATTCTAGCTAACCTAATGCTATTTTAGCTTTTTGTACTGTTCATATTTCAGTGATGTCAGAGTGAAATAATAGTTTTGTTTTAGTCTCCAAAAGCAAACATTTTTTTTCCAGATTAATCCACATTAAACATTACAAAACAGCCATAAGTGGTTTTCTAATCTGAGCTGATGAGCTGGCAAATGTTGGATACGATTTATCCAACCATGTGCTCAGATCCTTGACTAACGGTGGCTCCAGTCCTGCTGCTGGCCCCACCAGAGAGCCAGGTGTCTGTTTCCATCTGTGTCAAAGCTCAGCTTCTCATCAGTCTTCTCCCACAGCTGCTCAGATACCTAAATGAGCGCAGGCAGTCAGCCCACACGCCCTATGTGGTTTGCGATATTTACACACTTCCTTCTTCTGAAGCATCCTTATGCGTCTGCAGCAGAGATGATGAAGAATGATCGCTCATTCTGAACTGACAGCACCTTAATGAGTAACTAATGATGAGTTTATCATGCATTCAGTTTGAGCCTTCTGACAAACTCTGTTCACTTTGAAACTGCCCTAAAATGTCTTGGCAGACTGGAGCAAAGCTGTCAGTGGAAAGACACAGAAATTACAATATTTATTCTGTATAATAATAATGCAACACAAAGCATTAAAATAAAAGGGAAAGCAGAAGTGTGAGCAAAGAAAGAAGCAAAAACATAAAAAGGTATTTTCTGAGAAAATGCAGTGTGAATAATACTGGTGATGAACCTGAGTTACAGTTCAAACAAGCAAGACAAAGGCAGAAACAATCAAAACATATGCAAGATTTAGAAAAAAATGCAGCTCTGTATCTAAAAGCTAAATTAGTATAGAAGCTAAAAGCTTCAACTAACAGAAAAATAGTTAAC